CTCTTCCAGGCTCCACTCGGGAGCGCTGGGATGGCACCATTTCCATTCAGCAGACCATTAGAGCAGCAGCCTGTTGGGGAGTTTTTCAGGGAAATGCACCACGTTGGCCATAGTGACTTGTGATCATTTATTTCCTGTTCTCTGGCTTTTGAAAAAAAAATTTTTTTTTCTAGCAGGGTGGGTGACACAATTGAGCAATCTGAAGGCAACCTCCTGTTGCTACCACCAAACACATCTGAGGGGCTTCGTGACTGAAATGGGTGGTGGTGCCAGGTGGACCACATCTGGGATTGGTCTTTTATTGGGTCTCCCTCTCTCCTGCAGCAAAGCCAAGGGCACGAGGGGCTCTTTCTGCCTCTCAGGGTAGTAGCTGGCTTTTCTTTCCTTTGCTTTCCTTGGTCGGGGCCAGCGGAGGTGGCACTCCCCTGCCGGCCCTGGAGGGCTGCCCAGAGAGCTGTCTGTCTGAGTGCACCCTGCCTTGTGGCTGGAACAGAGCCATTCCTGGCCCTTTTGATAGTCTGGTGGCTCTGTCCCTACTCAGGAGAGCTCACGTGTTCTCTGGTTCAGGGTACTGCCTCGTGGTGATGGCCATAGCCACCAGCTCTCAGCAGGCAGTCTGTATGCACCATCCACTAGGCTGGTCTTCTTCCTCGAAATATCTTATAAAATCCCCACTTGATGAGTGACAACTGTACAAGTCAGGCTCATTATTGACCTCACTGGGCGGATGAGGAGGTAGGCTCCTGGAGGTTAACTATACTGGCCTGGGTACACAGCAAAGAGGAAGGCCTCTTCCTTAGGCAGAGACCCAGGACCCTGAGAAGGTGCGAACAGGCTGGAGGGGTGCTAAGCTGAGATCTATACACTGAGGATGTACAGGCATCCCCTGGTGTGGAGAATGTTTCTGGTGCTATGTGGGCTGGCTCCGCCTTCCGAACCCACTGTTCCACCTCTGTCCCATGCTGCCCCTGGTTGGCTTTGGGCTAATGGCAAGCAGGACAGAGTAGGGTTCCAGGATGGGGCTGCAGCCGCACCCGGATAAGGTAGAGTTCCCTGGCTTTCAGCCAGCTGCATTTCCCTGCCATTCGCTAGAGGCATCTCTCAGCCTTGATGACCCGGATTGACAGCTCACGTTTACTAAGTGCTTACTCAGTGCCGGTACCGTTCCACTGTTTTAATGCCTTCAGCTCTCTCTCATAGTCTCATATGCATGTGCATACAGTCGCTCAGGATGGTGGTGATGGTTGTTACCCTTGTGGCAGGGCCCAGGAGCCAAGGTCAGAAGTACGACTGAGAGCACTGAGAGGCGGACAGAGCTCTGTATCTTCCCTTCGGTCAGCTGAGACTTCATATCCCCAGTGCTGCTTTCTGCCCCTTCAGTGGCACTGAGTGAGACTGGAGGAGTCACCTACACGGAGGGTAGGTGCTGAGCAGACTGAGTGGGCCGGAGAGGCACAAGAGGAGACCGTGTGCCGGCCTCCCCCGGAAGCTCTGACTGCTCTGCCCTGGGTCTGTCACACTGTGTAGAAACCACCCTGCCTCTGGGGTTCACAGTGGATCCCCAGGCCAGCCCACTCTGGAGCACCCGGACTCAGGAGACCGGAGTGCAAACACACCAGCAGAACATCTGGTGGAAGAGGATGGAAGAGCAGGACCCCAGAGCCTCGGGCAGGGTGGAAACCCATGAGAGCCCCCGCAGGCAGTGGAGCATTGCTGGTGACCCGGGGGACCCGGCAAGCTGGGCTCCGCGTGCTGTCATCCTGGCCTGTCCCTGATGGACGGGAAGCACTCTCCTCAAAGGGAGCACTTAGCGCGACTGGGAAAATCGATGGAAGCGAGGGGCCTCAGAGGTGCCAGAGGAATCGTAAATATTTTATACTGTCGAATCAAATGGCAAAGGCAGTCATTTCTTCTTCAAATGGAAGTGGCGGAGACGCCATTCCGCTCAAGATTAATAGGCGCACTGCCCAGCGACCAGAGCTTGCAGACGAAGTGGAAGGGAACCCTGGAGGCTGAGAAGCACAGAAATGCAAGGCCTCCTGAGTCAGAGAAAGGGTTCAGTCATGAAGAGCACAGGCCGGGACTTTGGAGCATCCGTAGATGTGCCTCCGAGATACCTTCCTGGAAAGTCTGCAGCAGGAAGCTTCAGGTAATGCCAGTGAGGTCACTAGCATGAGGTGCGCGGTGCACTCCAACAGAGCATGTGCCCTTATGCCTGTGGCTTCAGTGACAGTCAGAGCTTCAGAGCTTCTGCGGGCAGCCCTGGGTGGCTTTGTTCTCTCCCTGCCTTGAGCCCCGGCGCAGCACATCTTCTACGGTTCCAGCATGCTGCATAGCTGCATAGCTATTTGTAGAGACCGACAGGGACACATTCTCACCTCTTGCTTTGGGAATTTCCTTTCATGTTTAATGGACTCTGAAAGCCAATGGAGGGTGATTTTCCAAGCCATTCCCTCTGCTTGACCTACTTCCCAAAATGATGTCCCTGCTTGTTTCCTGCTCACTTCGGTGAAAAGGCAGCGTGGTAATGCTTCTTACAGAGACGGGCCCTACTGCTCTCCGAGATCTGAGACATCCTCAGGAAGTGGCTCGGAATTTATAGTCAGGCGGGAGGAGGAGGGTCAGCTGGTCCTTCTGGAATGGGAAGGAAGGGCGTGGGTGACCATCGGGGGTTTCTCCGGGCCCAAGAAAGGAAGCAGTACCATTCGGCTCAGCCTTTCCTGGGCACGTCCTGTGTCCGTCCTGCCCCAGGCTGCATGAGGAGTAGAAGATAAGCTCACATTTCCTGCCAGGGACATAGGGTCTCTCAGTTTTGGTCACTTGCTGTCACAGCTCCAAGATACACCCAGGGCTTTGAAAAGCTCATACTACCCAGGAGGCAGCTGGGCTACTTGGCTACTCTCTGCAGCTCCAGAAAGTAGAGTCATCAATCCTGTGACTCTTGACCTCAGGAAGCTGCCTCCTAGCTCTGGAGTGGGGAGGAGAAACAATCAGCAAAGCAAAACAAGACAGAATGTTTCTTTTCAGGGTCCTTCCAACTACAGCCCCACAACCGCCTCCTCTGCAAGTGGCTGATGACCACCGTGGAGGGGCTGGGGCAGGACGACTTCCCCTTTGCCATTCATCCTCACCTCTAAATGGGAGGCAGTGTCTATTCCTGAGGTCCTGCTGGGCCTGGGCCTTTGCTGTGTCCACCGCCCCTCCAGACTGCAGCCCAGCCTGGCCTGGAGCTCTAAGACAGTGCTGTTCATTCCTTCAAGACCTGTAACTCCAGCAAATCTTTCCCATCCACTCAACTGGAAACAAACAAGACACCCCTAAACCCCTCCAGACCCATAGTCAATCTCTGGGGGCAGGGGAATGGACCTTTAGGGTTTAGGATGTTGGAGAAGAAAACACTACTTCATTGTCAGTTGCTTTATTTTTTACTTTTAACAAATGGAGGGTTCTAGGTTAGGATTACAGCAACAAAGAAAGGACATTCTCATGTGCCCCAGCCACATCCTCTGTGCTCCGTTCTCCTGTGTGCTACGTGCCCCCTACCTCAGCAGCCCTGTCCATAGGGAGCCGTGTGTGGAGGCTGAGCCCAGGGAGTGGGCGCTGTCTGGGGTGGGGGCAGAGGACGGATTTATAAATCAGGAAGGACCGGCTTTCCTGGAAGGGGGTCCTATGTGCACTGTGCCTCTGACATGCGGGTGCATCTTGCACCTCGGACATTCTGTTGTCTCCCTCTAACCCTTTGCTTCCTTTTCCCTTTTCTCCTCCTTTCTCTTGCTCGCTTGTTGTTTTTTTTTTTTTTCCTCCCTATTTTCTGGAACCCAAAGATCTGGCTTTTTGAGCTCCTTGTTGTGATCACAGAAGAGACTTTCTGCTTCCTGAAGCTCATTTTCCTGTGGACAAGCAGAGGCTGGAGGGCGGCGTAGAAAGAACGAGATGGGGGCTGCTGTCGTTAGAACGATGACTGTGGACCTGGAGGCTCCAGATGTCCTCGCCAGCCCACCAAGGTGGCCTCTGATGGGACGCCTGGGACCCCAGGACTCCACATTGCCAGGGGTACAATGTGGGGTCAGTTCTGTGAGCACAGCAGACTCTCTTAGCAGCAGGGGCTACAACCCCAGGTCCTGGTGGATCCTTGAATCTCCAGCTTGTACCACGCCCCATAAATAGTGTTTTTTATTCCTCTACATGCAAACACACCTATGAGGAAGTTTAATTTACAAGCGAGGCAGAGTAAGAGGTTAACAACCAAAATGAATAATAAATAGAGCAATTATAACACTATATTGTAGTAATAACAGTTATGTAAATGTGCTCTCTTTTTCTCTCAAAGATATTTCCATCTTCTCTCTCAAATGAAGCATTTTACAGCTCTCTTTGGTAGAGTGAAACTGCCAGCATCATACTCGTGGGCCATCACTGAGTAAAACAGGGGCCTCTTGAACACAAGAGCTTTGATACCACAACCTGTGGCCCAATCTCTGAGCTACGAAGGAAGCAACAGCTGGACAGGGACCACAGCAATGCGGAGACGCTGGACAAAAAGGCAGAGCCGGCCCCTTGTGGGGTCTAAGGACGGGACTCAGAACAGGGTGCGATCTCACCCTAGCTTGTTTCTGGAACTTTCCTTCCAGTACGTGCAGACCGTGGTGGCTGATTGAGGGGCTGCTGCCTTTTTCTCCCCCGAGAACACCTGGTTATGGGGACGTGGAAGAAAAGAGAATGCTGACTCCACACCAAGCTCCCAGCAGGGCCTTCTCTCCCTGCCCTGACTGGCTGACTCTGCCAGGGCGCCCTGTAGCCTCCCCTAAGGAGGGATCCAAACCTAGCCAAATAGGAGCCACCAGAGGGGATGTGGGGAAATGAATTCATGTCTAAAAATGCTGTGAGACCCCTAAGTTTCCAGAACATTTCCTGGCTTTTTATTATTATTTATCATCATTATTATTATTTTTTGTGCCAGGGATCGAACTCAGGCCCTTGTGCTCTTGAGGCAGGTGGTGGAACCACTGAGAGAAATCCCTGGCTCCTTGAATACATTTAAAAAAAATATGCTCTGGGTTCAGGACTTGGCTTCAGGGAGCTGTTCCATCCTCATCAGCAGACAGCATCCGTGTCCAGCCAGCTTCTCGAGGACGGACAGAGGCCTCTGCGGATTCCTCGGGGACTGCAGGTGTGGGCTTTGGGCTTGTCAACACCAGACAAGTTTTGGCAAAGCAGGGCTGGGAGGCTGGTGAGCTCTTACGTGTCCCGTGTTTCTCCTCCTTGCCTCCTTTCACTGTTGCTAACACTGCCTGGATCACAGTCATCCTCATTTCTTTCCTATTGTCTTCTCTTTGTCTGCTCTTCTCTTGTCTTTTTTGCTTCTGCCACCAAAGTGAACCTTAGAAATCACCCTTTGGAGCTCCTCTGCTCCAAGTCTTTCTTGATCCAGGGCTGCCCAACCTTCTAGAACCCTGGCTCACCCTTCCCCACCTCTGAGGTTCTGCTGAGCGACCTCAGCCCTCCCTCCTCTTTTCTAGAGTCAGTTGCTCTTTGAATGAGAACCTCAACTTTCCCCTGGCCAGCTTTGGGGTTCAGTGCATGGATCATCTCTGGTGTCACCAGCTGGGCTGCGTTGGACATTGCTCCCTGGATCCCAGGTGCACTCAGCTTACCTTTAGCAAAGCCACACGCCCGCGCGCGCGCGCGTGCGTGTGTGTGTGTGTGTGTGTGTGTGTGTGTGTGTCTTCCAGTCCGAGAGCAGCTCACTGTAGTGAATACATTTTCTTTGCCCCTGCCAGCTTTCCTTTGCTTGTGTGATGTTCACAGTACCTGGTCCTGGGTCTGTTCAATCACTTGCTTCCTTTGGGCAGGAGGGAGACTAATGGAGGAGACTGAGGGACGTTGAGTTCTTGGCATGCTCCTCCTGCACCTCAAATATGTCTGTATGTGGCACTAATTTATGTGCATTGGGGGCAGACACAGAGCCCTCCAGTTGATTAAATAAAAACACACCACGCCACTACCATCCTGCTTGCTTGGGAATAAAATGCAAAAGGAGAAGAAAGATAGCGTGCTGGTCATTGGAAATAAATTGCCTGAGACTTCAGAGTGGGAATCTAGTGTCCAATAAGGAAAGGAATAAAACCTCCCACTGTTAGGTAGGATTCTCAGGGCCGTACTTGGCCTAAGAGGCTGAAACCCACACCGGAGGATGTCTGTCATCCACCCTGGGCTGTCTTAGCATGGCGTCCTCCTTCCTAACAGAGGCAGAGGGGCCAGGCAGCCTCAGAGTTCTGCTCAGATGAGGCCTGAGCCACAGCCTAGGCCTGGGCCCCAAAGTTGGCAGGAGCTGTGACTCAGCCTGCCCAGTCATTCTGAGGCAAAGTCGTGCCAGTTCAGCGCCCACTAACATTTTCCAGGGCATGAGCATTGATAAACAGAGATAGCCAGTCATCTCCAGATTCTGCTCACAGCCCCCACTTTGAAGCTCAGCCATCTCAAAGGCACCGGAGGTGGCAAAGCCACACCTTTCTTCGGAGGGGACCTGCCAGCTCACACATGCCCTGTGGACCAGTTACCGCCGGTGCTACCTCTTGGCAATAAGCTAAACCCAGGGGCTCATACAAAGTGCGTGCTTCAGTTTAAAGACTATTACATAATCGGCCTGGGGATTTAGTTCAGTGGCTCTGCCACCTGCCTTGCAAGCTCAAGGTCCTGGTACCCAAAAAAAAGACTAATACATAATGGAAACAATGTGAACAATGCATGGGACTCTGCTCTAGTGGGTGATGGTGAAATTAAAGCACACCATTCAAGGGAGAGATGAGCTGTGGAAACCCTCAGAAGAGTCTCTTACAGCCCAGAAAGCTGGGCCCAGCCCAGGCCATCCAAAGGCGGCAGCAGCCAGGCAGGCCTCTGAAAGTCCTGGCTCAGCCCCACAACGGAAGGTAATCTCACTGCAAACTGAACCGTGGATGCAAGGGCAGAGCTGAAAAGCAGGGGGAGTCGGGGTCTCGCTGCTAATGGATTTAGTCTACCCTGAAGCCTCACTGGTCTTGGCAGACACCGCCACTACAATTAAAGGAGTCTGAAGCTAATCAAGGGTTTCGTGTGGACGTGCCAGGTGGGGAAGATGATGCAATTATGCGCACAGGCCCGTGTTGCTGAGTAGTCTGTGGCAAACCGCGGGACACAAGAAGGGATCACGCGGTAGCCAAGTGGGAGAGTTCCAAGAAGAGAGCCTGCCACTGGAAGATGAAGATCTGCCTCTGCGGCAGCATGACGGGAGACAGGTGTGCACCCCGGGTGCAGCCTCTCGCTGGACGCTGAGGACAGACAGCCCGAGCAGTGTGCAATGTTCTCAGAAAGCCGTTTCAACCCAAATGCATGTGACCTCTTCTGCCTTCCATAAATAACGTATTAGAATTTTAAAGTAACAGTGAATGTCATTTCTTATTTTGTTCTTTTAGTTGGATGATGCAGGTGGAGCAGGATGGCAGGGGAGGGATGCTACGTAGACGATTTATCAGCCTATAGATTAGTGATCACCTATGTTCTGATTTATATTTACTTATCTTTGGTCAGTGCGTGAAGAGAACTTTATGTTTCTATGTAATTCCAACAAAACCCTCAAAGATGACAGTTCCTCAACTACTCTTTTGCAGAGTGCAACTACAATAAAGGTATACCAGTTGTCTTAGATAACAGAGCTAGCAGGAGTAGGAGATGGACCTCAATGCCCCGCCTTAAGTCTCCAAAGCTAGTGGTTTTTCCTACAAAGAGTTCTATCTTGCACCAGAAAAACTGCAGGGACAAAGACTTGTGTGCAGGACTGGTTGGGTGCTGTGGGCATGCTCCCATCCACCTCGGAGTCTCTCGGTGTCAGTCTGAACATCGGTGCCCCCACTGTTTGAGAGTTGTAGCAGGGGTTCTGAGACTGATGCCAGGCTCCTGGGCCTCTAGGGCTGAGGGGCCAGAACAATGATCGATGTGGCTGTACTCCCACAGGTGCATAGAGGCAGGGAGGGCCCCATCCCCAAGTAAGCTGAAGTGTCAAGAGATCGGAGGAGACAAGTCAGGGCCTGCCTCCACCTCCCCTGTGCCAGCTCCTTCGGAGCCTGGGTATAACCCCTTGGCGTTATGGAGGAAATGGACAAAGCATCAGGTGGACTGCAAGATCTAACCCTGTGCAGGATCTCTTCAGAGATCCATCAACGGTGGGGAAAATGTGTACACAGCTGGCCTTGGTGCTTGCTATTCACGAGATGTTTAGAAATAAGCCCCCGTGGTGCAGGTGCCAGAGCTAGGGCAAGAGCTCCAGCAGACACAGCCTGTCTTCAAGGAAGTCCAGTCCAATCAGACGAGCTTGTAAACTGGGCTCCTCCCACAGGTGAGCCCCCTGCTCAGCCCAGGGAGACACTCAGGGCGGGGACTCAGGGTACACAGTTGGTTACACCCCACCCATCGTCCCAGTGTTTGCTCGGGGCTGGAGATCCTGGAAACCCCCACAGAGCCGTGATGGGAGAACAGGAGGAGCAGCTGGCCCCCACTGAGGAGGGAGGGTGGGAGAAGGAGGGGAGCTTAGGAATCCATTCATTCAGCAGCTGTTTTCCGAGTCTGTCATGTGCCAGCCATGCTTCTGGGTGCTGGGCAGTGAACCAGATTAAAAAAAAATCTCTTCAGGGTCACAGAGGTCCCCCAGGAAGCCTGTGTCAGAGCTGTGAGAAGTCAGGGCGTCCCTCAGCCTCCCTTTGGGCCAGCTGTTGTGATTTGGGTCTTGATCTTCTTGAACAGGATGGGACTGTGGAGCAGTGAGAGAGAGAAAGGGTGTCCTGCTCTCAGCGAGAAACTGAGGAAGCCACAGCTTGGCCGCCTGAAACACAGACACACGGCTTCCTGACTTCACTGTGAACTGCCACACGCAGACCTAAAGCCCCCTTTGCTTGGTCCCTGAGGCCTGGAAAGGACTCCGGACTCTGACACTGAATGTTGTGATGTCCACTTTGGTCCTTTATTTCGCTTTTCTTCGAAGGATTTTCTGGAGTCAAGGGTTACACAGATAACCATTTAGGGTCAGTGGTTTTAGCATCAGCCTTTGGCCTATTGGATAGAGATATTCATCTACATAAACAGCATAACCTCAGAAGGAATTCAAGACATTTTAGAAACCGCAATCAAATTTGCAGAACGAGGCAAAGCACAACATAACAAAACATCAACAAAATGTTCCATACTACTTTCTGTTATTTTAAAGCTATAATCAATAACGGGAAGGTAACAGATATATAGGGTGAGGGCAGATAATTTAGCAGCATATTATTTTCAGGACAAACTATAAAAGCAAATATGCATCTTTAGGGAGTTTTAGGTGGATATTTCCAGACAAGACTGAAGTTCTTGTATTAACAGAAAAATCACTTTATTCAGTTAGCTAGAGAATTAAAGTATGGAATAAATTACTGCTGCCTGGAAATTTCTCTTTCAATTTTATATCAGTCATAGGAAAGAATATACTTTGCTAAGGAAGTTCATCAACAGCTTGGCTTTCAGAGGGATCAAAATACACATGTAACTTCCCTGCTTGTTTCCTTTTTTCAAGCCAGGGTCTTCCTATGTAGTTCAGTTGGATCTGGAACTCACCATTTAGTCCAGGCTGGCCTTGAACTCATGATGATCCTCCTGCCTCGGCCTCCCAAGTGCTGGGATTGCAGGTATGCGCCACCACACCTGGCTCCTGTCCTGCTTATTTTCATTAAATAAGAAAGAAAACAAGCTCCAAATGCCTGAAGTGCTAAGACTTAGTTTTATTTTACAGCTGATATACAATTGTCCTTTCTCAGATGCAGAAACGGCGCTGCCTGTGGCTTTCTGTTCAGTAGATGGGCAGGTCTTGGGCTCACCAACTCTGAAAGGTGCCCCTGGTGCCCTCAGCTTGAGCCCAGCTCCCATGAACCTGGTCTACTCCTCAGGCAGTGTCCTGGGTCCAGACCTGGGTCTTAGCATCACCCAAAGTGCATTCTGCCGCCCGCGTGTCAGCCTGCCTTCCGCCTTCTTCCCGCCCCGTATTGTCTGTCTTCGGCAGCGGGCCCAGTCTTGAGACTGTGCTTCCCAGTCTGCCGCCCTCCTCATCCGAGTGCAGTCCAGCCCTTCTTCACCTGCGGCATGAGCCTCTCCATGCCTCGCTGCCGTTCCTTGTCCTTAGACCTCATTTCCCTACCTCAGTTCTTCACCAACCCAGAAGCTCTTCGAGGTCAGAGGCATCATCTTTACTACACCAGGTATTTTTTAAAAAACAGTTTTGTTCACTGCCATAGTCCCAGCACCCAAGGAGACTCAAGAAGGTCAATAACCCTATGTTCCATTGCTGAAGTATTCCGGTTCTTTGTACTCTTCCCCCAGCAGAGGCAGCTGCTTGCTGTGATCTCCCCAGTTCCCCAAGCCTGAGCAAGCATTAGGAAGGTGTGTGGAGCCCAAGCGGATGGGCGCCCTCAGCCTCAGCCCCAGAGATTCTGCCTGGGGTTTGAGCCAGGTCTCAGTGTGGGAGAATCCCAGGTTTGGAAGCTCGCCTCTCTGATTAGACTGGACGTGCTGGGGGAACAGGGCCTGTTTCTCCAGGAGTTTGAATCCCTGGCTCTGGCTCCTGCTTCATAAGCATCTC